TTGAAGGTGTGATACTCATTACGAAAAGTATACCGACTAAGTTAGCGTCTGATGTGTTACTTTCGGCGAATGCTAGGGAAACATCTTGATCTCGGCTGGTGGATAAAAAATTGTTAAATGAGAGGAGACCACCCTTGGTTCTTTTAAGTTTCTGAAAATCAGCTTTGGATAATCCTTGTCCTCGGTATACGGTAAAAGGTTCATTGTCTGTTTTTGTAGACTGTTCTTTGTGTAATTGTTCGAGTTGGCAGTGAAGATCTCGAATAAAAAAACTCATTTTCTTCATTGTTAGAGTATCCAATGTTCGAAGTGACCGATTAACCGCCTGGTAGATGAAAGAGTCACGAATATACCAGGAAATTGATGTCTCAGGACTGTAATTCTTGTCGAACTCGTTGATATTATCTAACGTTGTCTTATTGTTGTTAGATTTTTCCCGCCAAAATTGAATAAAATCTGTGATTTCTTCTTGTGTGTGATTGACTTCAAGTATAATTTCTTTAAATAGCTGTGTGTACATAAAGGAGGGTTCTATTTGATCCAGATTAATTTTCGAACTATCTTCGCCGATACTGACAAAGCTCATAGCGATATCGTTTTTGTAATATCGTTTGATGGCATCTAGTAGTGCTTCACAGAGACGGTTGATGTCTGTGTGCATACCTTTAATTTTGCTGGAATTCTTTTTCCAATCATGGATTAGGGATTCTGTGCTGCAGAAAATATAAATACTCAGAAGATGAGGAATATAATCTACGACAGGTATCATGTCTTGATCTTTAGGATTTGATAGAATGAGAAATGCCTTTTGATCATTGATGGCAGTGAGAAAATCTATACCTTCATCGGATGTGGTGAAAATATATACTTGATCGGTCACCTGTTGTAGCTGTGTTAGTGTATTTTTACATTTTTCATTGTTTGGGTGAATGTTCTCGTCGATCCAGATAATTACATAGCTTTCAGGCATGCATTGTGTTGGTTCCATAACACATGATAATGTCGTTGCAGTTGTTACGACATCCGTTACGGATGTAGAAAGCATTTCATTCTGCTTTTGCCCATCCATTTTGAATTTATTTGCCACTTTATTACTAACGAACAATGGAGAGAAGTTGTTTGAAATTCAGTCAGAAATATTTTTTTTCTATTGATCCGATAAGAGTCGTTTTTCTTGACTTTTTTGCAACATCAAATGTGCTTTTGTTTGTCGACGTTTAGTATCGAATTTCAGTAGTCGTAAAAGAAAATTATGTTGTAAAGAAAAAAATGATAAGGTTATACAGTGTCGTATTGCATTGTATTGCTGCTCTTCGACGATTTAAAAAGAACGATTTTTCTCCCTGATAAGAACGAAAAAACAACACTGTTATATGTACTTTGATTGTTTTCTTCTTTCTAAAGATATTATAATCATCGAAACGAAAAAATCACAAATAATATCAGTCTTCTTTTAGATCAGAATTGAAAATTTAATTTTCTGCTGGCTCAATATACGATTTGATACATTCTATTAGTTTTCAGGAAACTCTTTTTTTTGTGGACTTTATTTGAAACAGGGCACAATGACATAATGGGCATAAATTGGATTTCCATAAAACTCCTTTTAAATCCTCAAAAAGGACCTACCACACGTCTCGAACAGCTCGTCCAAAACTATAAACAAAACTCCACAGCGAGCTAATAACCACTAAAGTAGTGTAAACCATTCTCCGTGCAGTCAGAGTCCACTTTCCAGGATAACATTTGAACTTTCAAACAATACTTCTACAATTCCTCGAGTAGACCTCCACTTTTCACACCATCCACATCAACGTAGACGTGATTACATGTCTTCGGAGAGTTTCCTTAAAAATTCAATTCAATACCGACGCAGAAGATACAGTAGATAAAGAAGATGTAGGATATGAAGGAGATATAGAGATATGGGTGGCGGGATGTTCGCCAATAAGACATTCATCAATGGCGAAAGTTCTGGTGATATATTGACGAAAGTACAGTGGACTTTCGCCCATTGAAGAAGTTCCAGGGAATGTATTGGCGAAATTCCATGAGGTGTATTGACGAAAGTACAATGGACTTTCTTCAATGGCGAAAGTCCTATTGGTGAAAGTCTTATTGGCGAAATTTGGGAACCCCAGAGATATAGGAGATATAGTAAACAGTTATTTATTTATTTTGATTGTTTCTTCGAGCAACCATCGATAAGTTGCATGAATATATCAGAATAGAACACTATTAAAAGTCAAACGCTATTTACGGATTATCTGCACTGGTTACCCCATATCTTCTATATCCCTGTATGCCCTATCTCCTATATCTCCCATACCTTCTCCGTCGATATTTAATTGAGCTTTCGGAAAAACTCTCACAAAGCATCATATAGCAGGAATACGAGGTATCAGAGGGTACAGGAAGTGTACAGTTCGTATTATTTGATGCTAGGGCTACTATAAAGCAGACGCATCTATCCATGATTCCAAAAATAATCTCTCAATATTAAATATAGGTAAGACTACATATCCGTTAAAGAAAAATTCCTCCATATATTTTCCAGAAAACCACTTATCCCAGAAAACGCAAGAATTCATCTCCAAAGCAACTCTGCACCCAACGAATTGAAAACAAAACAAAAACAAAGCGTCCCATAATCCCTTGGCACGTTTATCATGTAATTCCATGAGAGCTACATCAGCTCTAATCTTTCTAGATTTTCTGAATCGGGTTCCTCTTTTCAAAGCCATTCGGGTATGGCCAATATCGCAACAGTTCAACTAAACCATCCTCGCGCGCTACAACTACTTTCACAACACAACTCCAAATACGATACGTATGTGAAAACATTTCTGACCAATGTCTGACAAGACAACCCGACACTCAACTACCAGGACGCTCTCGTGGACTTTACACAGCACCCATAGCATGCACACATGCTCAGGTACCCTTTCCAACTGTTGTAAACCGTCTCATCATTCTCCCCATATACAGATCAGCTACAACCTTGTAGACCGCTTACCGAGTACTCCAATCATGAAACCCTCAGAGTCCCGAGGTAACGTGTCTTCTATTGTTCCCAATACTTTCACGACCAATCATTTCCTGGCCACTCCTTTCACGACAACCACAGCAAGTGCGATGTGATATGTGTCCTACTGCTCTCAGTTCTTTCGCGGCCAGTCTTTTCGCGGCACCCGCGGCAGCTGCGATATGACGTGTGTCGTATTGTTCTCAGTCCTTTCTCGGCGAGTCGTTTCGCGGCCTATCGTTTCGTGAATTGTCCTTCCGCTATCCGTTCTTTCGTAGCACTCACAGCTGGGGGAAGGCACGTGAGTCGTTTTGTGGGATGCGCAGCTTGACAGACGCGTGAGAGTCGTATTGAGTCACCCACACCTTGGCGCACTCGCACGGGCATCCACATCGACAGTCGACAATGTTTTTGGAAACCACATTCTGCGTTTCCGTGGTATGATCTTTGTGTTTTCGGAAGTCGATTTTTCTTGGGTCGAGTTTTTTATTTTGGAAAAGTGAAAGTGTATTTTTCGGCAATTCATTTTGGGTTTCTGGAAATGTTTCGAGTGCGGAAAGGCAATTTGTTTTTCCGGAAGCTCATTTGGTGCGGGGTGTGGGTGTGGAGTGTGGGTAACTCTTGTATAGCTATCCACACCCACTCACTCATCCATATCCACACCCCACACCCACATCCACACCCTAATCAAATGAAATCAATCGTATAAACTTAACGCGAAATTCAGTTTTCGGATATAGTGTATCTTGAATTTCTACTACTCTTTCCGCTAATTCTTCATCTTGTTCCATATATCCTATAGTACATTCAAAGTTATTGTTCTCAAAATAACACATGTATAGGGTGTAGATGTGGGAGTGTCTCACCGAAGGTAGAACATCTGCACCCTCGAAATGCGTTCTTTTGCTGGAGAGAGGCCTTCTCTCATTGTGTTGGTGCTATCGTGAGCTGAAAAGTCTTGTATTGGTTTGCGAGATCGGTACCCGAGAATAAGCTGTGAGGAGTTATATCGATTCCTGCGACCTCGGCAATCCTGTTCGGGTTTTTCAGAAAAGGGATTTTTTTTACAAAGTACATGGGTATAGCGATTTATAAATAGAGCTAACAACGTGCCTTTTGAATGCCGTCGGAAATTTAAGCACGAAACTTTTTTTGATGTGAGAATGTGAAGAATAGGATAGCTATGATATAAATAACCCATAACCACAACCATACCTCGTACCTCACAGCTCCGCACCTCACCCACTCACACCGATAGTATTGTTTAAAAACAGCTCCAATAAAGTCTTTTTTGACCTGAAAAAGGCCGTGTCCAGGTTTTTAGAAACCTTGTCATCATAGGCCACCTTTGAATATTTGAGATAGAAAACTCCATTGGCTATTAAAATCACTATCTGGATTTGAGTTAGATGCTTAACATTATAGAAAAAAACCTAAAATACGTTGAATTTTAACTTTTGCCCGCTGTTTTATGTCCGCACGTCCTTCGAAAAAGTGCTACCATCCTTCCAAAATTCTAGATCCGCCATTGTATTGTTTTGAAATAGACACTATGATGGATCATTTCTTTCTTTTTTATGATCTTTGAGATATTCATTAGAAATGCAATTTTTTTTCATCTTTTTTTGTGTAACATCATATGCTAACATGCTTCAAAGACATCTTATCTATTCATTTGTTTTTTTTTTATTCTTCGTAACGCTTATCAACACAAAGCAATCTGTTTTTACTGAAGATGAAAATATTCGAATTCAAAATTCACAGATACAAATTAAAAAGATTATCTAAGTTCTCTCATAAGAGTAAAATAAATTCAATTTATTAGCAAATATATTCATCTATTATTAAGAAATCGAACTTGAAAAATTTCTATATGATCTTATACATATTTTTTTTTCCCGTTTTTTATCCTACTTGAAAATTTCCACATTGAAATAACGATAATTTTTAAGTGACGTAGAGCATTTTTTAATCAATGAAAAGTAAGCATGCTTATCAATATAATTAGAAATTTAACTTTTTATTTTTTAGACAGTCAATTGTATATTTTATGCTTTGGTACAACGTTGACAAGTATTGTAATTCTTCTAAATTATTTTCAACAAAGAAAAAGAAAAAACAAGATGAGAAACGAGTCTGTTTATTTATTTAATTATTCATTGATTCTCATTATTGATATAGAAAAATGAATATTTAAAATGTAAAACATTATTTGATTTCGAAGAATTAGCTAAGAAATCAATGATGTCACATCGTTTTTATTATTATGACTACAAAGCTGGTCAAGGACATACATATCAAGCATGTAGACATTATTTCGATAAACAATTAAGAATTATGCTAAGAGTTTTGATGGATGTTAGTGAAATTTCATTAAAAACAACTATATTTGGGTGAGAAATTATTGAAATATAAAAAGCTACGATACTCCTATACAGACAGATTTTACCCATTGAGAAGATTTTTTCTAGTTTTTGTTTCGTCACTATGAACTCAAAATGCATTTGTCAACATTTATTATAGATCGATATATGAATCACCAATCCTAATTGCTACATCTGCTTGTCATTGTCTTGCTCGTGTTGGTGGTGAAGTTGCCACAGCTCGTGCTGCAACTGAAACTCAATGTATTTTTACTTACAATTGGACGTTTTCAAATATACCAGAAGAAAAAGTTCTACAAACACTCGGTATATCCTTTTTTTTCTTTTCTATCTCATTTTCTCTTCAATGTACTTAATAATCTTACGTCCAAAATTTTTACATATTTATTTAACAACACCTATAGAAATCTTAGAACAAATAGTTCCACAAGCTGATAAAAAAGGATATCGAGCAACCGTTATTATATGTGATCAGCCACATGAACGTATTCGAGATTTTGTATTACCATTATTTGAAGAAGCATCAAAGAATATTGATTCAGAATTAATGAAGAATATGCCAATACCAAATTTGAATATAACTGGTATAATTGTTAAGTAACGTTTTGGTACCGGTTTAGTAACATGGACAAATATTGAATGGTTAAGAAAATTGACACAATTACCAATTATTTGCAAAGGTATACTCTCACCAATTGATGCAAAATCAGCAATTAAATATGGAGCAAATGGAATTATTATCAGGTCTGCTTTGTATATAATCAGTTAACTGAATATATCTTTTGCTATTATTGGTTTTAGCAACCATGGTGGTCGACTAACTGATACAGCACCACCCGCTATTCAATGTCTGGAAGATGTCGTCAATGCTGTTGATGGACGTGCAGAAGGTAAGTTTGTTTCAATGACAATTGAAAAAAATCTTACAGATTTTTAAACTGTCTTCTTAAGATATCAAATCTTAGGCAGAATAAAGTTTTTTAAAACGTCTCGACATAGTTAAGATGAGAAAAGTTATCTATCTGCTTCCTTTTTAGAAAGCTGTTGATTTGGTTTAACTCTCTATATTGATAGAGTAGCCCAAGCTTGCTAAATCTTCTGATTTGATCAGGACACTTCTGACCGAAAATCTCCTCATTTCAGGAGTTGATTTTTGTTTTTTTTTAATATTTGGCTGTTAGCAATATTTTGAATCAATAAAAGAATTCAAAGAAAAAGAGAACTATTGCAGAGTTTCAAAGATATAACAACCAACAAAAACACATTGCTTTTTACATCCTTTTACTCAAACTAAAGTCATTAATTACAATTATATTAACTAATCTTATATAAAGTATTTGTTTAAACAGAGATAGTAAGAAAATAATATTATATGTGTAATGTTTTGACGGACAAGGGTAGCATTATTATTGAAGTATCAAGCTCATTAGATAAAAATCTTATGACAAAAACTGAACCGCAAATCGATA